GCTGCTGCCATTGCTGAGAAAATGATGCCTGAATTACATGGTACCTTGGATTTCATGAAAAATATACAAAATCAGGATGTCAGTTTACATAACAATATTTATTGTAAATTTTAAAATTGTATTAAGTATATCATTACAATATCAAATAATGAATAACAAAATCATCTTGTCAACCAATATAAATACAATTATCATATGATTACTAACTTTTTACTTAAACTGCAAAATAATATTACCCCACCCACTAATGCATTTTACAAAAGTATAACAAATGTATTCCAGAAATAATTCCTGATAACACAATTAATGTAAATGAGATTTTGACAGTCATTTCATCGAACAAAACACATTAAATCCATTTTATGGTTCAAAGGAACGTTTTTAACACTCAAAAATATAATTATAAGGTATGAGTCTCTGATGATGTGCGACTGCTGCCGTGCTGGCGCTATCATAGCAACGTCCAACAATAATTAACTCATGGTAACAGGTATTGTTGCAGAATGGATTATGTTTGGTTGGTTGGTTTTATGGAGCACAAACACAAATTTGGCCATGTGAGACGAAATATGAAAGATGAGTTGGCTAACCTCGGGTGTTAAAACTTAAAGCAACACCAGACAACCTCACCTGCTTGAGCATAGAGATGTGCATAGACTCCAGCAATTCGAACTTATTTAGTTGTCCCTTACAATCACGAAGAGATAAACAGTGGCTGCATTGCAGGGTTGTGTAATAAGTAATTGATAAAATAATTAATTGAATCGAGAAATATATTTTAGTTGTGGCTGCCGTCTCACCAACACAATAAAAGTAACATGGCGCCTTTTAAGATACCCATGGAAATGATGACCACAGGGACCTCGCCGTGCATTATTTCAGGCATAAATCGGACGCCTGAGTAGAACAATCAAGCTGAATAGTCGCATCACATGAAAGAATATTGCCCTTATATGGCTCAAAGTTAAAGCATACATTGGTGAGAGGTTTATGGTTTAAAGCCAACGACCTTATCCACTCCCCGCCCGACAACAAGATAGTGAATCAGTTAATGAAACGTTTCAAGTTTATAATTAAAGATGTTTTACCCTTCATTAGTGGTTGTTTGCATATATAGCCTGAGCTGTTAGGCGTCAGGCTTATATTATTAATCTAAAATGCAGCATGTTCCCTTGAGAAAAAAAGAAAAAAACATTTGTTCATTAATTGTGTTTATATATAGTTTATATAAATGAACGATTACATTATCCTTGCTATACTAACAAAATTGCCAAGTTTAAACTTAAAATATATTTGCTCAACAATCTCAAATAAACTTACACTAATAGTATAACAAGTATATTTACTGTCTATAAAAATTGGGGTAACTTTTTCCCCACCCTTTACAAAATATCAAAAATACAAATAATTAAAGATTACAATTTTTCAAAAATGCAAATAAAGATATAATGTATTTTTGATTTCATTTAAACAGTACCAGTTTTAAATTTACATATGTCAATATTCATTTTTATTTGGTTGAGTAACAATGGCATACACAGAGTATACTAACTTATTTACCCATGCAAGTCAAATTAAATTCACCACAGCACAGCTCAGCCACGGCGCCATTCCTGTGCAGGATATGTAAACCAGTTGACCAGTACTAAATGCCTTTACTTTCCTCCGTACATGCCAGAGTAGTGGTATAATGCAAATGACTTTAGAAAGGTTTCATGATCAAACACAACAAAAGTGACCTTCACCTTGCTTGAATCGGCCGGTTTACAGTCCAACACCAATCTGTCTTATTGTGTTTACATGTAGATCTTATTGCCACCAACTCATTTTCAACTTTTTGCCGATTTTGATTTCTGCAAACTTACAGAGAATTATTTACGTCAACCATAAATTGATTTTGCCTTAGAAAAATAATTAAGTATAAATTTAGAATATGATTTCTGCGAAACATTAGATTCTATCAATTTTGGTATCGAGGCGTTAAATCCAGGCCATTTATCTAAATGACACTAAAAAGTGTCAAAGGGCATCGTCATTTTTGTTCAAATGTAATGACTCGAAATCGTGTCAATCGCATAACTGTTAACACGTGTCTGGTTTCCAACGATTAAAAATAGAAATCCTCCATTTTCGTCAACGCAAAAGCTACCACTGATTGGCTGATTAAAATGTTAGATAAGTGTGACGTTGTTTCGGTCATCGTCAGATCTACAAATAAACATAAGAAGGCCATACGGTTAGCTCATTAGGTTGAACGTTAGACTGACCTACACAGACCTAGGTTGGTTTCCAGGACTGTGTAGGTCACTTTCGTTGTGATTGATCATGAGTTATTCGTACTGTACGTCTGTTCTGGTACAGAAGTTACAGTTCATTGAGTAAATGAAGGAAATTGTACTGGTAAAATACTTAAAGTTTCCCCAGGAATGGTGCGGTGGCTAAACTGTGCTCTGGTAAATTCAATGTTGCTTACTGTTGTGATCCGTAGTACCAACCACCAACATAAACTTTAGTCAAATGGTTGCATAAACCAGACACCAATAACCATCATTAATGCTTGTTACAACATTATAACCAAAGTATTCTTTATATGTTTTGCCTTGTCGCAACATGAAGATGACTTTTTGATATTTTGGACACTAAGTCACAAAATGTAAGTAAATGAAGAGACCTTTCAAAAGCATCTCTCTGTTCCCTTTCTTTTCTGGTTAACCAGGACTTCTGAATGTATTCCTATCTGATATGCCCTCATGATGCCTTTTCAAGTTTTCCTGTCCGTCCTTAAATTAACGTTACAACACTGATGGCAATTGTATATTGGAATACTGAAGGTAAGTCAAAACACAAGGCAGACGAATTTTAACATTATCTGCTACAGTATTTTTTTGTCATAATAGTGCTTTTAAATTCCAATCTCGAAAACAAGATAGTATCAAAGGAATCTTTTTCTATTCAATATACTTTATCAAGCAAAAGTTCCACAAAATAACTGTCCAGACTTGAAATTTGGGAGTTATAGATTTTTATTTCAAGCAGATATATCTGCTATAAATGTTTTGTCCCAAAAATGTTAAAACATGAACATTGATATTTGGATTTATTTCTACATCAAGCAAATGTTTTTCCCAAGCAGCACATGTCCCATAGTATCCCTTTTCTCCAACTCGAATACGGACAGAAGATTCGTTGTCATTGATTGACTCAGGAACTTGGCGTCCACCTGGAACAAAAGATCACTGTTTTTGATGGAGATCAAATAGATAAGCGATTTAACATTTTGTAAATATTGATCAACATATATTAATAAGTATGAATTAAACATCACCCAATAAGGTAACTGTAAAAATATCAAATGATATTATTACATTGCTATTTTATTAAAGTGTTAATGATTGTTGAGTTAAACTTAATTAAAAAAATGGCCATGATTCAAAATAAGACAAAGTGTGATGACTTTGATGAGTTTGTTAATTTTATTATCTCGCAATTTACAACAAATTTTAAAAGCTAGCAGTATGATCTTGCCATATTATTATATTTGGCAATAACACATAGAAATTCCTAAACAGTCATTTTGAATTTTACTTGTGTTCCTACTATGATAAAACTTTATTAAACGCGAAAGATAAATCAAAATAGAGTAACAAAAATAATAAACCAAATGTTAGATTTATGTTCCGTATTTGCTTCCGTAGTACAAAATGTCGTCAAAAACTGAAGTATCATTATCGATTCATTTTTTTCTTTGTTTCGTATAAATAATAAACAAATAACAAAATCCAAATGAAGAAAATTAAATAATACGCGTGTAGGTGATTTTTTGCATGCAATTTCAAAGTAGATTCTATTTTTATTTTTAGAATTAATTTTTTACAATGACGCAAGCATGAACTATTCGCCGATTTCTTTATTGTTTAAACGTTATCGTCGAAAGATTTATGATATAAACATCTGAAAAAATATTGGTTATATATAATCCTACCTCGATTTTAAGTAAAAACCTTGAACTTTACCCCCAAACGGTTCAGAAGTTCCAAAACGAAGGTTGTTGACAGCCGTTTTAGATTAAATATGGGCGCCGCCATACTTATTTTCCGTGACGTCACAAACAAATGCGCGTGAAATCTACTGGTATGGTAGCGTAGTTGGAGCAAGTTCTAAAAAGGGAAAAATCGCTACATAAAACCGCTTTTATCTTTTTAATTGCAAATGCAAAAATTCGGGACTTTTTATGGTAAGCACTTAAGATTAAGTTCTTTCGTGAGGTGTTGATAAAAATTCTTTTGCAATTAGTTCTAGGTGTATCTTTATATTGACTGGCCTACCTTACAACTTTGTTGTGCGGGGGTATAAAAACAATTTTTTGTCGAATTTTGTTGTGAAAACTATCAAGAATGAAAGAAAATGGTCTTACTAAGAAAATGAATACGAACACCAATATCTTTTATTCAGTCGTTAACGCTGTACAGACGTTTAAAGTATTGTTTACGTGACGTAACAATGTATCGCCAAACAGCATGTGCAAAACAATCAAATCAAGAACGCTATTTTAATGTCGCAAACGTTTAAAGTTTTACATTTATTTCACTTTTAATAATATTTATTTCGCTTGAAAAATTATAGAGTGAAATAAAGTAAACAAACAAAGTTTTATCAACATTTTCAAAACTTGTTATTCATTTAACGACAGGGGTGGAGCCATATTAAACACAGTACGTGTGACGTCACACGCACTCGTCACTGCATTTGAAATAAAAATGAGCGATTATTTCATACTATTTCACGTTAAAAGTACATCGCGCTCGCTTTGCGGCTTTGCCTTTTTCATATTAAGAATGCACTTAGATAAATGCTTTCGGCTACCTAACGCAATCATTTTTTTGTGGGTTTCTGAAAGAATAATGACTGGAACTAGATTGAACCATGAACACTATTTTCATAACGAAATAGGTGTACACTTAGAGAAATAAAAAAACTGATAAGAAGATTAAAAGTAATACCTGGTTGACAATAAATTTCAAAGAAGATGTAAAAAATGTTACTCCATCAAACATCAAATGAACGCTTGCATTTGTCAAGCTTCTATCGACGATGACTTTTAATTACCAGAAAGTATTAAAAATACAAAAAATAATAGTCTTGAATATCGTAAATTTAGATGTAGATGTATCATAATATGCCCATTGAGAAAGGTAGATTCCTAAATATAGAGGGAATTTACGTAAATGTTCTTTAGTCAAACCAACTGGGTGACAAATATCACTTGTTCCCATTTTGTTAATAGTAGACATAAATTTATTAAACCGTGTATTAAATCTATCTATCTATCTATCTATCTATCTATCTATCTATCTATCTATCTATCTATCTATCTATCTATCTATCTATCTATCTATCTATCTATCTATCTATCTATCTATCTATCTATCTATCTATCTATCTATCTATCTATCTATCTATCTATCTATCTATCTATCTATCTATCTATCTATCTATCTATCTATCTATCTATCTATCTATCTATCTATCTATCTATCTATCTAATCTATCTAATCTATCTAATCTATCGATCCATCGATCCTTCCATCCATCCATCGCTAGGGACTTTGGATTCTTTCATGTGAGGAAACTATATTCAGCTAGCTTATAGAATGTCAATGGTTGGAACTACATGTATGCAGGCACCTGAGATATTCCTTCACTGGTAAAACATGAAAAACAAGATTGACAAGGAAGGGAGTCACTCAGGAAACGCATGCTAGAGACGCAACCTTGCAATTAACACCGGCAAGAAGTAAAGCTGGAAAATTGCCATATGATCCCCCTGTATGAAAGAAGGAAAGAAAGAAAGAAAGAAAGAAAGAAAGAAAGAAAGAAAGAAAGAAACAAACAAACAAACAAACAAACAAAGGAAAAATAAAGAAAGAAATGCTGAGCCTTCCATGGCAAAGATGAATTACCGATATGCAATGTCATAAAGATGAGGATTCTTTTACAGCAGAGTACATTTCGTGAAGTCTGTTTTTTTCTTTTTCATTTACAATTCCATTCTGTTGCTCTTATTTTTGGTTATTTTATTTATTTATATATTTTTTGGTTATAGCACCTCGCCATGGAGCTAAATATTTATATATCTTCGACCCCGCGAAATGAAAGTGTGGCTATAAGAGTTTTCTTTTTGTGTGAATATTTTCTTTGTGGTTAACAAATATATATTTTCGTAATATTTACACGTCGTGATAATTTCTACTTAATTAAAAACAAAAGAACAAAATTGTTAAAAATTGAATATTCTTAGCTATTTGTAGACATGGCCGATCGCTTGACACAGCTGCAGGATGCAGTTAATCAGATGGGAGAACATTTCTGTAATAGTGTCGGAATATTACAACAGTGTGCGCCTCCATCTCCGTTTCAGAACTTTGATAAATTAGGAGGCAAGTCACCAGTTCCCCCACCTCCACAGGAAGATTACGCTGCTATGTTTTCCAAATTAATCGCTAGAACAGCCAAAGACATTGACGTCCTTATAGACTCATTACCAAGTGTGGAATCTTCACAAGAATTGCAACTGAAAAGTTTACAAGTTTTAGAAATTGAAAATCAGGATGCAGCCAAAAATTTGGAGGAAATTGTGAAACAAGGAGAGCATTTGCTACAACAAATTCAAGAAGCTCAACATGATATTGCTCAAGTACAATTACAATGTCAGGCTCTAATGGGAAATCCAACTTGATACAAGTACCTGAGAGCAGAGTGTGATATATTATATCTTCTGTCGACAGCGTGGAACTTGGATATTTTCTGTCAAGACTCAAGTTTATGGAATGTGTTTTTGATTCTGAAAACTGCATTACACTGATGAATATATTCTAAAAAGTAAACTATTGAATGGTTTTAAGACATCAACAGTTTAAGGTTCTCGAAACATTAAAGTTAACAAACATTTATCATGACTTAAGAAAACAGCAACATTCTATGTGAACATGACTGCAACATTTTCAGCTATGAATACTTAAGACTTTAACTCTCCCGGATGTGTTATGATAAGGAGATTGTATTTGACTAACAACATACAGTGAACTGTGTATTGTTTTGTTTTCGTGTCTATATCATTACAAATGTATATGCATTGACAATTAGAATTACCATAATGATACCAGAAATAAAATTGCTGTAAAGTCGTATATAAGTATTCATTATAATGATACCAGAAATAAAATTGCTGTAAAGCCGTATATAAGTATTCATTATTGTTTATGTTGTGATTTGACATATGCATAACTCAAGCATGCCTTTAAATGTGAAAAACAATTGCTGTAGATCTCAAAAAATGTCCACATTTTTGAAAATCTTTGAATTAATTGATTTATTCCAGGCATCAATAAATTTGTTGTCTATATCCAGTTTGTTTATTGTACACGGTTCACTGAAAATAGGTGTCATCTACATGCTACAATGTATCTTATGGGACATGTCTGGGTGTTTTGATAAAACTAGACTTACAACTTAATATGTCTTAGAATTCATTAGACTTCATCACAAATATAGGTCACTATCAAAGACACATGATCTTCAGTAGGTATTTTAACTGAGTTACTGTGAAATCATTATTATTCGTGGTTTTCGTGGATAGGTCAATCCACGAATTTAAGACCCGACGAAATTTTATCTCAACAAATACTTCTTACCATGTCTCTGTTCCATATATCACAACATGTGTCGGCGCTTTTCCGGCCGATTTTTGTGGTATGAATGAATACTAATAATCAGGTCAGTGACAAATTTAATCCAAAAATAGTTTGGTTTTGCAATATTTAAGAAACTTGAAAAAAAATCGATTGTAATTGTCTTCAATTTGCTGTTACAAATGTTCGTCACATATAAAAATCAGGGGGACTACTTCATCGTTGTCAGCTACTTGATTGTGTTAGCCAGAATACGTGACATAGCATAATCGAGTAAATATGGGAACCCAGTGCATTAATTAACGCTGATAAAACTTTACACGACTAGTGTTTATATGGTTATTTAAATATATTTCAATATGTATAATAATTGTATTTGTGTGACTGCTATTCCAAAAATATCAAAGAAGACTTGAATCTGTGTTGAGCCACTTGCTCGTATTAATTTGTATGCATATAAATTTACAGTCGATGTGATGTAGTGTGTAGTGTTGGACCGATTCAGGGTGTAAACTTAAAAAGTGGCAGATGTTGTATAATTTTTGCGATGTTTACATTAGTGAATTATAGGGGCAGTGTTACCAATGGAGCTGCATATCATGTCACACAAACGTGTTAATTGCTGTCAATTATCGGCAGTAACTGTGTTACTCCCAGAGGCAAGGATTAAATTTATTGACAAGAGCTGTGTTATATACACGTAGTAAGTAAAACAGCGCGGTGATTAAGTGAAAGATTACTTTCCATTGCTTATTTATTTTTTACAAGAAAATAAAAATCCAGGCAGGAAAGAACCCACGTTCTGATAAAACCACAAAATTTCATGCCCACAAATACAAATGATTTCACAGTATCCTACTTTATGAGCTTAGAAATTTTTTGGTTTAAAAACTATGAACATTTCCTTACATTTAAACTTCTAACATTTCTTCAGCCTCATAGTCAAGGAATAAGGGATTTTAAAGGAATAATACTGTATAATATTTCTAGAAATATTCCTCAGATCTATGCAATTTAGCGTTTTTCATAAGGATGGCATTTTGGCAGACATAAACTTTTGTGCAATCATAAAATCATGTTTTGCGAATATTTTTGTGGTTAAGAAAGTATATAACTAGTATCATAATAACTTTTCTGTATTAGTATTCTCAATACTCTAAGACAAGATTATGGCATACAATATTCACTATTGACAAAATCTTTCAGGACACGCCCAAACATGATATAAATTTTATAACTTTAATAAAATTGTTATTCAAATTTTATCTATAAATAGTCCATTTTCATAAGATAAATTTACCAGTCTGAAATCATTTTCTTATACCAGAAAAACAAATGTTCATTCAGATGACTTAATTCTTTGCAAATAACATTATTTGCATTTAAAAGCATTATATGTCCTGGATTTTGAATGCAGTTTTCGTTGATTATCAAGCTCCTTTTCTACTGGCAGCTCTTAAGGTCACATGCATAATTCTCCTTTTGAGGGTTTTGTCCTTCAGTTCTCACTTTAAAGCATAATAAAGAAATGTGACAAACTTACAGACATGACCTTTTATGAAAGCTAAAAAATGTTTTGCACCATTTAAAAATGTTATGCTTAGGTGCAAGCAACATGTTAAAACGGTAATGCTTTAAAAACAAAAGAAAAAAGGACACATTTATCAAAATTTTAATTACATTATTGAAAGATGTTCAGTTATTCATCAGACATAATTTTATCTTTACATTTACTTATTGATATTCAACTGCAACTGTAAATCATACACAGTAAAATCATTGCGTTTTCAGTAGTTTCAGAAATAGATATGTTTAACTGCATTGTTGATGCCTGATACAAACAATCTTTTCCTCAAAGCTACTTTTGTACATCTTTGTCTCTGGTGATGAAAATATAAATCATGTAGAGGATGAGAAATATTCAATGATTATTTGAGCCACGTCACGACAAAACCAACGTAATGCGTTTGCGACCAGGATGGATCCCGACCAGCCTGCGCATCCGTGCAGTCTGATCAGGATCCATGCTGTTCCCTAACAAACCCTGTTACAAGTAGAGAAACTGATAGCTGATGCGCAGGCTGGTCTGGATCCATGCTGGTCACAAACGCATTGCGTTGGTTTTGTTGGACGCGGCTCATTTCATTGTCATTATAAGATAAAGAAATAAAACACAACTCAAATTTATATGTTAACTCTTTTTTTAATAAAGATACTTGGGGAAAAAAAAAGAAAAATACATGTCTTAATAATGGCAAACTTTAAACAAGTAAATAAATATTTTCATATGCAAAACGTATCGACAATAAATCTTTGTTGGTATAAAAATATAAAAGCTCTGTGTTTCAGAGAATTATATGCCCTAAGTAAAGTATGTGCTCTAGCAAGATGTACAATGTTAAAATGTGATAGGACTTGATTGAATTATGAAATAAAACAACAAAAGCAAGTTATTTATAATCAAATAAGTTTTTTTTTCAAGTTCTAGTGTCCTTGTCCTTTGACAAATGACCTCAAAATCAAAAGGGGTCATTTACTGGTGATGGGCAATGTCCCTACCAATTTTCACAAACCAAGGTTTCCTTCTCAAGTTATTGAGCAGACATAGGTATTCCATTAAGTTTTACTGCAACAATGACCTCTGACTAAATGACCTCAACATTAATAAGGGTCATCTACTGGTCATGACCCTACCAAGTCAGACAAGGAATTTTACAGTGTCATCGTGACCTTAACTTCTGATTTAATGACTGGTCATCCACTGGCCATGACCATCATCAGTAAATATTAAGACAGCACATAATAATAGTTCTCAAGTTATTTAACTGACATTAGTGTGGCTTATGGATAGACAGATGGAAGGACAGACAAGTGCAATACCATAATACGACCAAGTTACCTTTGGGCATATCAAAGTTGTAAAAAATCGATTGACAACAACAGAAAAAGGGATTTCACCTACTAAAAAAATATTATGAAACTTTTGAATAATTTTTTTTTAAAAAGTGACTTCACAGAGAGAATAGTAAAAAACCCACAATACTTGTATGTACATGTATAATAAATCATGTATAATAAAACAACAAAAACCTCTAACAATACAAAGTTTTAAATATTCAAAATCAACAATAGACAACTTTTCATAACAAACTTGAAACTTTAAAAATAAGCTTTACTTCATATTCATGTATTACAGTCAAATGTTGAAAGCAACATATATACATGTACTGTTAAATTCATTTTCGTTGTTACCAAGGTCATTAAATTAGATTTTATGAAATTCATGTTTTTTTTTTCTGATACAAATACATGTACACATACTCTTAAGTTTTCTAAAATAATTGCCACACTAAATCTAACAGTAATGAATACAGATTACAATAAAAAAAACATGTAACATGTAAATTTACATAAATTTCCTTCACCTGTTAGAGATTGAAACAAATAAAAGCAAATGTCAGCAAATAATAACAACAAAATTTAAATACATGTTTATCTTTTCACATTTCTTGAAAAAAAACAAACAAAAACTAATTGGTTCTGGTATTTACACAACAAAAACAATGAAAAAAAGATAAAATAACAGACAAAATTTGTATGTACAAAATGATCAAATGATGATATGAAGTTAAGCCATAACTAGTGCAGTTTACTGTACTAAATATTACAAAAATTTTACATGTATGTTGTTTTCAAATTCATCTGGTCATATTTGTGTTTATTTTAACAAAAAGTTTCTCATATACTTAACACACAAATTATAATTGTTTGTTTGGTTTTACAACACACTAACACAATTTAGGTCATATGGCACCAGAACAGGAAAAATGTTTTTTTTTGCTAACGTCGGGTATTACAAACTTAAGCAATACCAGGGGTCAAAACCATCTTACCAGCTGGAGCTAAGAGATGCAAAGGCTCCAGTTATTCAAACCCATTCTGTCACCTCTTTAGCAGGGCTAAATGGTGGCTGCAATTATTTTGCCTCAACCATTATAGGCAACCCTTCAGCCACAAGGGTTCGTAAATTATAGAAAAACACTATTGCATTACTACATATTAATCATTTATATACAAAAACAATAAAAACATGTCCAAACAAAGTTTTCTAGGTTTAGCATGTGCCTCTTACTTTATGCAAAAATTACAAACATTACTGTTTCAATTATTTAGGAAATTTCGTTTTGATCAAGATACAAATAAGTATTCCATCAAAAATAGATTAATATACTTTAAGGGAATTCACATGACCCTTTCAAGACACTAGAAATGTGCAATGATCCTAATACAATTATTAAAAAAAACTACATGTATGCTTCACAAATTTGTGGAGATTTTCATGAATAATTTAAACAGATCTACAGAGTATAGTATATGTACATGTATTTAGCCTGGTCTTACAGCAAGAAAATGTTTAGGTGGTATGGTTTTTTTATGGTGCCAAAAACTGATAACTTATGGTTACAAATATTGCAATTGATATAATACTGCTAATCTCTTGTACTTTTACATAATGAAATGTTATTTTTAGTTGGCTTGAGATATGATTGATAAAATAAGTTCAAAAGTAGAGAACATTTATCTAATTTTTAAGCAGCACTGCAAACAATGTGTGATATTTTTCAACCCAATGAAACAATAAAGCAGTATGTCCACAGCATTGAAAGTCATTCACATAAACACTACCACGCAGAGATAAATTTGGAATGACATATATGTAGATAACTGTATATAAATTTTAAAATTTTAAATCAGCCATTTATTCTAAGTGTTCTTTTTTTAAATACAATGTATGTACAAGTAAAACGTATTGAACTTGATCATTATCATGAAATCATCGTGAAATATCACATCATCTATTTGTCATCCTCATCTGATTCCTCAAAGAATGCTCGTGCATTTTTTCCTTTAAAAACTAGAGCTGCCCCAGCATCTTCTGTTGTCTCTGAGCGTTTCTAAAATCAAGAAAAGATAACAAAATAATCATGAACTTATACAATATAGAGATGTCATCCTTCAAGAGAGTTGATATAAGTTAACCACTATTTTCTTTAAGTGTTCATATAACAAAATTATCAATGTTTATTTATACACCTACATTTACAAAGCAAAACATTTAAACAGAGTGCTATCATTTTTATACCCCTATTAAGGTGGTGTGTGGGGGGGGGGGGGGGGGGGGGAATAGACATGCCCTTGTCAGGCCATCTGTCTGCCATACTAACAAAACCTTAACCTATAGCTCTTCAGCGCTTCTTATGTAAACTTCACTCGACTTCGTCTCGTGAGGTTAAGGCATAAGAAAGGTCACTTGATTATGGTATAATTTACGCAAACCCAGAAATCGTCAACGCAGCAATGGTATATCTATTACATAGAATGTGGGTGTATCCATGTACTATGGCCACATTTCTAGTAATACATGTAAGATAAACACATGTACTGTAAACCTAGCACTTTCAAACATTTCAAATTTACATTCTTATATTACTTCCATCTTAACTTGCAATAATAAGTGTCATTTAAAAGATTAAATTATCAACAGAAAGTGACAATGCTGAAACAAACGCAAGAAAATAATACATGTAATTCTCATATTCCACCTAAAAATGCATTTAATTACATTTTTTTAAGATAACATTTTTTTAAAATTGTTTAATAAAATTTTTATTCTTCCAGTATATAATGACTCGAAAGCCACTGTCAAAATGGTGATCAAAATATAAAATCAAACAAGAATATTTTTTAAAAGAAAATCATCAAATCATGTCGACAATGTGTATCATAAGCAGTGTTTACAGTAGATTCCTTTACATGGAAATAATCCACCCAGTTTAATCATGTAAAAACTAGAAATGTGTCCATAGGACACGGGTGCCCCCACCGCGCCACTGATCTGTCAATCTTATAACTCTAGGTCAAATATTTTTTGAAAACTAAAAATCTTTTACTAAGTAAAGGGCAAGAACTTTACAAATACTACATAAATCCACATGCAAACCCCAAGGTGCATAAGTACACATGCTGACAAACATTCTTGTAAACTTTCAGGCCTACAAGTAAAATACTTTTTGAGCTATGCATGAACAAGTTGAAAATTGCAAATTTATACTACTGTAAGTCAAGGGGAATAGCGGGAAAAAATCCACAAGCAAAGTCCAAGGTGCATAGCTTCACAGTGATGTGAATCATTATTCCTGTAATTTAGTGATGTTGATCATTATTCCTGTAAAGTTGGTTGATTCTAACTCAAGCACTCAAGGAACAAATAACAACATAATGAAACGGTTTTTACTAAGTCAAAGGAAATAACTCTACAAATATTAGATAAATCCAAAAGCGAAACCCTAGGTGCAAAACTAAATATGCTGAGCAACTTTCCCGTAAGGTTTAATGACTCTATGTCAAATCCTTTTTGAGTTACATGGGACACAAGTTGAAAATTGCAAAAAATTTCTAAGTCAAGGGCAATAACACTAAAAATACTATATAAATCCAGACAAAAATACCCAGGTGCACAACTACACATGCTGATCAATATTGCTGTAAAGTTTCATGACTCTAGGTCAAATACTTTTTGAGTTACATGCGATACAAGTTGAAATTGCAAAAATTTTAGTAAGTCAAGGGCAATAACTCTAAAAATACTAAATACATCCAGACGAAAATACCCAGGTGCACAACTACATATGCTGATCAATATTCCTGAAAAGTTTCATGACTCTAGGTCATATACTTTTTTAGTTACATGCAACACAAGTTGAAAATTGCAAAATTTTACTAAGTCAAGGGCAATAACTCTAAAAATACTAAATATATCCAGATGAAAATACCCAGGTGCACAACTACACATGCTGATCAACATTCCTGTAAAGTTTCATGACTCTAGGTCAAATACTTTTTGAGTTATGTGCGACACAAAAGAGAGCGAACAGACGGAAGTTCTCACAGGACAGTAATTATGTGGCTACTCTATTGTTCTCTCTATTGTTCTTTTTAGCCACCCACATAAAAGCATTACGGAATGAATGACATCAAAGAGAAAGAACAGTTACCTATTGTCCCTCTAGCCACATAATTACTCTCCTGTGAGTGCGGACGGACGGAAGGACAGACGGATGCAAGGACAGATTGACAAGGGTAAATCTTAATGCCCGCCACTAAAGTGGGGGCACAAAAACCCAAACATATTAACAGATTTTAACACTTCTATGAATGTACTTTGTGAAGACTCAGTTTTCAGGTACATGTATTCATAATGATATCTTCACAAAATTGTAACAGGTATCACTGGCATTCCCAGAGAATAGAAACTGAAGAATATTCAATTCAAATTTTGGTTTAAATACATTTATATTTTGATTGTGAGCTTGAAGCTTATTTAAACCACTCCTGGAACTAATAAGGGCTGGTGTCATATGAGAAAAACAGTCATGGACTGGGGAGGGCTCAAACACATGATGCTTAGGTTAAAAGGCAAACACCTTAACCACTTGGCTGCCATTCTTCATATTTAAATATTTCCCCCCCAAGTTTAAATACTGTATAAATATATAATCTGAATTATATACCTTCTTTAACTTGGATAGAAAAGATTTGGATTTTCCTTTCGACTTCTTCTCATTTGGGGCTGATTTTGATGAACTTTGTACAGCAAAACATCCATCTGCTTTTGCAGACATTGCTTCAACAGCATTATCATCATCATCTTCCTCATCATCACTGTATGTCCGTCCGTGTGAGGACCGCTCTGAGCGTTGCCGTGACGCGAGATAATTCTCCATAGATTTGATCTTTCCAAATGCTTTCTTGTAAGTCGGCCTGCTACCCCTATTACTCTCTGAATCTTCCCTGATGAAAAAAAAACAATAACTGATATAACCAATATAAATCAGTTTACATTTCTATGACACTGAATATTTTGATAATCTAAAATTTACCATAAAAAAACTTTCATTAAATTAATACATCAATGAAATTTATATTAGCTTGTGTTACGGTATCATTTATTAACATTTACTATCATTCATGGAATTTTTTTTTTTTAATCTGAAACTACACAATGTACATTTATGTGAATTTTAAAATACAATGTATCAAAATACTTAGCTACACAAACGATCAAGAAATCCATATTACTGTTATTATCATATGCTCATATAATGTATATTCCTTTTTTTGACATTGCTAAATTTTGATAACTATTTTTTCTCCGGCTTTATTCCTACTTTCAGTTCATTCTTCCTTTCTGAATGTTTTCTTTTTGCTTTCAACAAAACATCAAAAGCTTGGCAATCACCCTTTTTTATTTAATCATTTTGTTTCTATTTTTTTAACAAACAATATTGTAAATGGGCTACCAACAGACAGTGTTCCACGGAAATAATGTGCATCAATATCAATATATGCATCTTAATCCATTTTATTGCCATAAAATCATTCATTAGAAAATTGTAACTTAAAGCTATGATGGATATAGGAAAGGAAACATTCCTTGTGTGTCGCCAAGCAACTCTCTGGTTCATAAGCTATGATAGATATAGGAAAGGAAACATACCTTGTGTGTCGCCAAGCAACTCTCTGGTTCATGAGCTATGATTGTGTCGCCAAGCAACTCTCTGGTTCATGAGCTATGATAGATATAGGAAAGGAAACATACCTTGTGTGTCGCCAAGCAACTCTCTGGTTCATAAGCTATGATAAATATAGGAAAGGAAACATACCTTGTGTGTCGCCAAGCAACTCTCTGGTTCATAAGCTATGATAGATATAGGAAAGGAAACATTCCTTGTGTGTCGCCAAGCAACTCTCTGGTTCATGAGCTATGATAGATATAGGAAAGGAAACATACCTTGTGTGTCGCCAAGCAACTCTCTGGTTCATAAGCTATGATAGATATAGGAAAGGAAACATACCTTGTGTGTCGCCAAGCAACTCTCTAGTTCATGTGCTATGATGGATATAGGACAGGAAACATACCTTGTGAGTCGCCAAGCAACTCTCTAGTTCATGTGCTATGATGGATATAGGAAAGGAAACATACCTTGTGTGTCGCCAAGCAACTCTCTAGTTCATGTGCTATGATAGATATAGGACAGGAAACATACCTTGTGTGTCGCCAAGCAACTCTCTGGTTCATGAGCTATGATAGATATAGGAAAGGAAACATACCTTGTGTGTCGCCAAGCAACTCTCTGGTTCATGAGCTATGATAGATATAGGAAAGGAAACATACCTTGTGTGTCGCCAAGCAACTCTCTGGTTCATGAGCTATGATAGATATAGGAAAGGAAACATACCTTGTGTGTCGCCATGCAACTCTCTTGTTCATTAGCTATGATAGATATAGGAAAGGAAACATACCTTGTGTGTCGCCAAGCAACTCTCTGGTTCATGAGCTATGATAGATATAGGAAAGGAAACATACCTTGTGTGTCGCCAAGCAACTCTCTGGTTCATGAGCTATGATAGATATAGGAAAGGAAACATACCTTGTGTGTCGCCAAGCAACTCTCTGGTTCATGAGCTATGATAGATATAGGAAAGGAAACATACCTTGTGTGTCGCCAAGCAACTCTCTGGTTCATGAGCTATGATAGATATAGGAAAGGAAACATACCTTGTGTGTCGCCAAGCAACTCTCTGGTTCATGAGCTATGATAGATATAGGAAAGGAAACATACCTTGTGTGTCGCCATGCAACTCTCTTGTTCATTAGCTATGATAGATATAGGAAAGGAAACATACCTTGTGTGTCGCCAAGCAACTCTCTGGTTCATGAGCTATGATAGATATAGGAAAGGAAACATACCTTGTGTGTCGCCAAGCAACTCTCTGGTTCATGAGAGCTCGTTCTCTAGACATTGTGTACATGCCATCTTGAGCCATTTTAGCTGCAGTCATTGCTGTATGTCTAGCTAATACTCCTATCTTGGCATCTTTATAATTAAACACAGATAAATGATTATAGAACTGTTTGATTTTAGCATTTCCTCAAACTATCATTAGGTCATAGGCTGCTGAATCTGTGTAATTGATAAGCCCTGCTTTGTACTTAGAAAATACAAAAATTGAGTTATCAATAGTAAAAAGCCTAGTTTGTTTGCATGAATGTTGACTTCTCAATATTAGACATGTTAATTTGCACCAGTATCTTTAACATTACAATAACCTGTTTACATTGCTTTTCGTTTAAAAATTTATGCTGGAAAACAATTAATATGAAATTTAACATTACATTTGAAGTTTCCATTTAAAATTAAAAAACTAAATGCAATGAAATTTACAGACCACATGTAGGAGGTGTTGATTAATATATCAGCCGCGTCATGATAAAACCAACATAATGGGTTTGTGATCAGCATGGATCCAGACCAGCCTGCTCATCCGCGCAGTCTGATCAGGATCCATGCTGTTCGCTTACAAACCATATTACAAGTAGACATACTGATAGCGAACAGCATGGATCCTGATCAGACTGCACGGATGCGCAGGCTGGTATGGATCCATGCTGGTCGCAAACGCACTATGTTGGTTTTGTCATGACGCGGCTCATATGTTGTCAATCCCAGATAACTGCACCTGATTATGTGATTACATTAATAAAAACTGTGTACAACTTACTTCTCTCAGCTTTTTTCCGATCCCTTGTGATAGGTTTAGTATGAGTGAGAACTCTCAAAGCCTTCGCCCCTTCTGTATCTGTATAAACAACCTGTAACTGGAAAGGTAATTCCTTGCGCCCTTCATCAGACTGGGTCCCTGATGTCCCAACAGAAGCAAAAGGCTGGGCTCCTTCTGTTGTACATTCTGAAGTAGCAGTTTCCTTTTTCTGATCTTTATCCGCCATTTCAGTTTCCATTTCATTTTCTGTTTTACCAGTATCCTTTGATCCACTTGCATCAACTTCCATTTTCTCCTCTTTCTTTTCTTCTGCACTCTCAGTTTCTACAGTTTCCATTTTACTTTCTGCTTGACCTTCAGTCTTTGCTTAAAGAAATAATCGTATGTGCACGATTTTGATAAATTATTCTATTATACTAAACATTTAAATTAACATTCCTAGTGTTGTGTTAATGATTTGCCTGGCTTGAAATTCAATAAAGTTAAATGAGATTTTGTTATCAAAATACTGAAACTGACAATAGTGTAAAGTCAAGTCAAACTACACAGAGTTCAGACAAATCCAAATTCACACTCATGAATTATAATTGTTACAGCTAGCCCATAAAGTTAAAAAAAATTGAAGCTCTACATTGGGCTACTCTGCAATTGCTCTATGGAGGGCCCGACTGCAATTGCTCTTTGGAGGGCCCCACTGTAATTGCTTTATGGAGGGCCCCAATGCAATTACTCTATGGAGGGCCCCACTGCAATTACTCTATGGAGGGCCCCACTGCAATTGCTCTTTGGAGGGCCCCACTGCAATTGCTCTTTGGAGGGCCCCACAATATCTGCTTTATAGAGGGCCCCACTGCAATTGCTCTATGGATCGCCCTGCAATTGCTCTATGGAGGGCCCCACTGCAATTGCTCTTTGGAGGGCCCCACAATATCTGCTTTATAGAGGGCCCCACTGCAATTGCTCTATGGATCGCCCAGCAATTGCTCTATGGAGGGCCCCACTGCAATTGCTCTATGGAGGGTCCTACTGCAAATGATCTACGGAGGGCCCAACTGCAATTCTTCTACAGAGGGCCCTTCTGCAATTGTTCTACAGAAGGCCCCACTGCAATTACTCTTTGGAGGGCCCACAGCAATTGCTCTAAGGAGGGCACTTCTGCAAATGCTCTACGGAGGTTCCCTTCACAATTTCTCTATGGAGGGCCCCTCTGCAATTACTCTACGGAGGGCCAATCTGCAACTGCTCTAAGTATGGCCCCTTTGCAGAGGCTTTACTGTATTTTAAGTAAAGAAAAATTTACATCATTTATTTTACAACTTACTTTTATCAGCTTCTGTAGGCTTTGTACGTACACCATACTCGAAGGATATTTCAGTATCAGCAGTAACATTGCCAATAGTTTTGACAACCTTTGACTCCTCACTTTCCTCATAGAAGAAAAACCTACAAAAAAGACATCAACATCTCACAATAAGTCCCTAGGGATTACAATATGCAAATACTAAGACAATAAGTCAATAATCTGGTCAGGCTGTACTTTCAATTGTACACAATCTAAGTCAACATAAATTATCACCTCAGTATATGATGGTAATAAATGCATACAGAGAAAGAAACAGATACAGTAAACTCCGCTTATAACGAACTCATTGGGACTTTCAAAATCTGTTCCTTATATCCGGAGTTCCTTGTAAGCATATAGCGAATTAGTTCCCTGTATCAGGGGTTTTTATAGCGAACAGATTGACATATAACGAACTGATTTTATACCATTGTCCGCCATTTTGAAGAGCATTTAATTAAGAAATATTAGTCATTTATTTCTATTTTAGACACAATACCCGAGAGCGTACTTTTTGGAATTTGAAAATCATTGCTATTTTTAGTTTTAGTTTTACACCCTATCTCAATTTCTCATAAAATATAAATATTTTGTTTCTAAACTCTTTCGTTTTCTTTCATGATTGAGAATAAACAAGATTTTCGATTTTTCCTTCCTTTTATAATGAATATCTTCTATTATAATCTAAGGGTGTAAGATATAGATATCTTTTCATTTAAATCAAGCGTATTACTTTGGATTTTGCAATGGATCATGCTTGCAAGCATGCGTGATTATGTTGAAAACCGATTATAATTATATAATTATTTTTTACTCGAGGCAAAACAATTGAAGAAAAAAAAATAAATAACCGTTTTATCTTGGTGAAAAGAGCTCATGCTAAAAATATCCTAAAAGTAAACTATACAAATTCATTTTAATAGATGTATTGAAGTACATACAACAATAACGGTACATTCGGCCGAGTTTGAATCTGTGCCAATGAAAACGAAAGATGAAAATGGCGGCATCTTCTTACGGATAGCCAATATTTTGGAGTTCGTTATAAAAGTGTAATTTTCTGTACTTTTAACTAAATTGGGACTAAGAAATGAGTTCCTTATAAGCGATAATTCCTTATAACCGTGTTCGCTATAACCATATATTTTTATATTAAATAAAGAATGGCAAAATTCGGGCCAAAATAAATTGTTCCTTATAACCGGAAGTTCGCTATAACCGTGTTCGCTATAAGTGAAGTTTACTGTACAACACTTTTGCATCAAGTCAACAAGATAAGACCCCAATTTCTTGTTTTAATATTTTTACTGATGCCAACATATCCTCTCTGGCGCCACTTAGAGACATTATGCAGTTGAAAAAAGCTAAACTATGTTAAAAAGTCAAATTTTAGCTTCAGTGACCTTGACCCCATTAACCTCAAACTCCAGTCAAAGGGTAGATGCCCCTGCAAGAATCCTCTAACAGTTCAATAATATAAATTGAAAGATCAATGAGCAATCATAAATACAAAAGTCTAAAAATCAACAAGCATTATATAATTACTATGGAACTCTTTCCATTTAGTGATTCCAAGATATTTTTATTATTAAAATCCATGTGTTGAGGTTACTAAGTAGTTAGGCTAAAGTGCAAGTGATGAACTTATTTAATTTGAAGTTTTGATTTCCATGATCAATGACAATATTCCATAAAATCTGACTAGTATTTCCCCCCCAAAAATATTTATTTGTCATATAAGAGGGTAAAAACTGCAGTTTTAAGGCAAATTGGGACCCCCATCTTATAAGTGGTCTGTCTTGAAGGTAATATAATATAGTAATACTTACAATTCTTTATGTAGAATGAATGTTGCAACAACATTTGTAGCAATGATTTTATTAGCCAGGATTGTACTGAATTCTTGTGTCAGTTTTAATGGATCAACTATGTTCACCTGCAAAATACAAAGCTTTGTTAAAACTTCAATAAGTCATAACTCAATAAACTTATAATAACTATTTTAACACAGTAATGTTCCTATCATATATCAAAATAATCAATAAGATTCCATATGAATAAGAAAACATAATCACAGAATAAATTGTGGCCTGCTGAGTTGAGCCATCTTGTCTTCAGTAAGCCAACTCAAGTGGCGGCATGGCCAGGTGGTTAATGCCTCGGATTAGTACCTACTGATCGCTAGCCGCAATGGATTCAATCCCTGTCAAAGGCAAGTTGTTGATTCCTTGAGCAAGAAACTTTACACACATTGCTCGGTACTGGTTGGTTCCAGGAAAGGCTTAGACAGTGTGTCTATAAGCTAACAGCTTCCTACACAATCGTACTAAAATAAATTCTGTATAAACCAATAAAGTCTCTTCAGTAAGCCAGCTCAATAATTTCCCTAAGTGAAGGAACTTATATGCACTGTCTCTTTTGGTTTTTATACTTGGACCTTACTCAGAGCAAGTACTTTTCAAGTATGTAAAAAAAAATTATCAAAAAAATATATAATTATGTTTATTTCTGATGAGCATCATGCACACAGCGCTAAAATCATATATTAACTTCTGTACCTGGCCTCCAGTTTTTGTCTGCCATTTTTCCAATCTCAACAAGTTTACAATCAGTGCCCTTTATTGTTATTACTGATATAGAAACTCTGAAAGTAAAATAGTTTATACCATTGTGAGACTTAGAGTGTTAAGTAATCAGGACATCTAAAAATCATGTGTCAATTTGTTAAGTAATCTTAGTCTCTATCAAAAACTATGTGTCCAATTTGTTAAGTAATCTTGGTCTCTATCAAAAACCATGTGTCAATTTGATAAGTTATCTTGGTCTCTATCAAAAACCATGTGTCAACTTGTTAAGTAATATTGGTCTCTATCAAAAACCATGAGTCAGTTTGTTAAGTAATCTTGGTCTCAATCCAAAACCATGTGTCAATTTGTTAAGTAATCTTGGTCTCTATCAAACCATGTGTCTATTTGTTAAGTAATCTTAGTCTTTATCAAAAACCATGTTGTCAGTTTGTTAAGTAATTTTTTGGTCTCTTCAAAACCATGTTGTCAGTTTTGTTAAGTAATTTTGGTCTCTATCAAAAAACCATGTGTCATTTGTTAAGTAATCTTGGTCTCTATCAAAACCATGTGTCAATTTGGTTAAGTAATCTTGGTCTCTATCAAAAACCATGTTGTCAATTTGTTAAGTAATCTTGGTCTCTATTAAAAACCATGTGACAATCTGTTAAATTGTCTGTGTCTCTATCAAAAACCAAGTGAAAATTTGTTTAACTTGGCATCTATCAACAATCATGTTGAAATGTGTTTAATTAACTTGGCCTCTATAAAAAAAACATGTACAAAGTTTAAGTTGCACAGGCATCATTACTCTGTAAAACATCTTGTCTTGACATTTTTTTAGAAAACCATGTGAAAATTTGTTTATTATTTATCTTGGCAATTCATGCTATGACATTGGTTTAATGCTTTAGCACCTTTCATAAACAATGTGTAAATCCATTTTTGACTTGTTAAGAAGTGAGAATGGCTGAAAAAAAATATTAGCGAATACCATTTAAAAGTAGTGAATTACTTGTTTACTAGAAATTTGCCTTTTATTTCCAAGGACATTTTATTTGTAAGTTCATGCAGCTTACCCATTTTCCAAAGCATTGTCAGAAATTTCATCATAGAATTTAATAGCATCTTCCAGCTCCTGGTCAGTCTTGTGATTGTCAGTTTTTCCCATCCCAACATTAGCAAAGACCATCTGTACACAGAATAACCTTTGACCCACGAACCTTTGATGCCATAGTTGTTGACACCAATAAAGCTGGTCCAAGTGCTGTAGGCCCACATTCTTCTAATCTAAAATAGATATGTGTAAATTCATCCTTACTGGTTTAAAAACCTTTACCTTATTCCATATTGTTTTTGCCTGAATCATACTCAATTCAACAACAGACATAGAGAAGTCAAATGTAGAATCAACAGTATATAATTTGGCTCTTCACATGTGACTAATGCAGGTACATTGCACGTTCTGTTACTAGTATTCAAAACGGGCAGTTCTCTGGCACATGTAACATAATATGAACAAAGTTATACACATTAAAAATTTCGGGGCCTGAAAAAAGAAAAGAAAACAAGAGGGGCCATGATGGCCCTGAGGTCGCTCACCTGTATATAGGCCCCCCCAACCCCCCACCCCCCCCAAACGTTGCAGGGCCAATTTAACCAAAGGGCTTTTATTTGCACAAACTTGGTAGAAGCCCATAAAAAGATGTTTCATGCAAAACATCTAAGCTCTAGCTCATTGGGCTATTTAAAAAAAGATTTTTTTTAAGTTTTTACTATACACATATAGTTAAAAACAATGACACCCCTGGGGCCGGGCCAGTTATGACCCCAGGGTTTTTATTTGAACAAACTTTGTAGACACTTACTAGAATATGTTTCATGCTTAATATCTAAACTCTAGCTATTTGGGTTTTTTCAAAGAAGATTTTAAGTTTTTGCTATACACATATAAGGAAAATCAATGACCCCGGGGCGAGGCCAATTTTGACCCAAGATGTTTCATGCAAAACATCTAAGCTCTAGCTCATTGGGTTTTTTAAAAGAAGATTTTTTAAGTTTTTACTATTCACATATAGTTAAAAACAATTACACCCCTCGGGCGGGGCCAGTTTTGACCCCAGGGCTTTTATTTGAACAAACTCTGTAGACACTTACTAGAACATGTTTCATGCTTAATATGATATCTAAACTCTAGCTATTTTGGTTTTTTCAAAGAAGATTTTTAAGTTTTTACTTTATGCATAGAGGGAAAATCAATGACCCCCGGGGCAGGGCCAATTTTGACCCCAGGGCTTTTATCTGAACAAACTTTGTAGACACTCACTAAAAGATGTTTCATGCTTAATATCTTAACTCTAGCTATTTGGGTTTTTTCAAAAAAGATTTTTTAAGTTTTTGCTATACACATATAAGGAAAATCAATGACCCCCGGGGCGGGGCCAATTTTGACCCCAGGGCTTTTATTTGAACAAACTTGGTAGACACCTATTAGAACAAGTTTGATGCTATATATCTTAGCCATAGCTCTTTGAGTTCTTTAAAAGAAGATTTTTTAAGTTTTTACTATATGCATATATAGGGAAAATCAATGACCCCCGGGGCGGGGTCAATTTTGACCCCAGGGCTTTTATTTGAACAAACTTGGTAGACACTTATTAGAACATGTTTCATGCTAAATATCTTAGCTCTAACTCTTTTGGTTCTTTAAAAGAAGATTTTTTAAGTTTTTACTATATGCATATAGGGAAAATCAATGACCCCCTGGGGCGGGGCCAATTTTGACCCCAGGGCTTTTCTTTGAACAAACTTGGTAGACACCTATTAGAACATGTTTGATGCTCAATATCTTAGCCATAGCTTTTTGAGTTCTTTAAAAGAAGATTTTTTAAGTTTTTACTATATGCATATAGGGAAAATCAATGACCCCCCGGGGCGGGGCCAATTTTGACCCCAGGGCTTTTATTTGAACAAACTTGGTAGACACTCCCTAGAAGATGTTTCATGCCAAATATCTAAGCTCTAGCTCTTATGGTTTTTTAAAAGAAGATTTTTAAAGTTTTTTCTTTCGGTTGCCATGGTAACCAGAGTTCTGCATGGAATTAAATTCTTTGAACAATTTTTAAAGGTGACCACCAAAGGAACATTCCTATGAAGTTTGGATGAAATTGGCCTTGTGGTTTATGAGGAGATGTCATTTAAAGTAAAAGTTTACGGACGCCGGACGCCGGACGAAAAGCGATCACAAAAGCTCACCCTGTCACTTTGTGACAGGTGAGCTAAAAAGTCTATGCAGAATGATTAACAAAACAATTAACAAAACAACTTACTCAAACAATTTTTGGCCAAGTTGTTGCCTGGTATTTTTAATAGCTTCTGGGAATGGTTGTTCCATAGCAACAGTTTTTAGGGTATCTTTGTTACCAAGCTTATCCCCAGCAATAGCAACTGAATCTATTTTTCCATCGCCAACCACTGTCACCTGCAAAAAAAAATTGAGTCAGAAGAGCATAACTTTGTAAATAGATTAGATTAGATTAAAATAGATTACATGTATATGCCCTTGTGAAATGGCATAACACGTTGATAACTAACAAGTATCCTAAGTTTGAAGTCAATAGCTTGAGTAGTTTCTAAGAAAACGGACCATAACTTATTATATAGTAACTACCTCATTGCTGAATGTAACTATGGCCACACGTCTGTTTGGGTATTCTTTTGCCATCTCCTGAAGCTGATGATCAATGGCTGCCTGAACTGACTGCAGTCTAGATATATAGGTAACATTTCGGCGTTGACGTGGTAGGAATTGGTCAGAACGTTCACGATTCAAGGCCTGAGCTCGTCGTAAATCTGACGCACCTCTGAGCTCAACATGGCCAGGCACCTGTTGACAAAACATACACAAGTATCAACTTAAAATTTATTAGATAGGCTATATTTTCATGCAGAACGTTTTCACAAGGAACTTATTAAATTTAAATGTTATTTTTTTTTTTTTATTTGCACATTGAATAACAGTACATTTCAACTGATCTAATATTATATGTATCTTTCTGGGGTATTTCCCCCACAAATTGATGTCAGAGATAAACTTGATAAACTTTGTGCAATAGATAGATAATAAGTTACTTACAAAAATAAAAACTATATTTCAGAAATTATAACAGAGATTCATATATATAATAAAAAAAACATTGTGTATTCCTGAAGATAATATTCTACTAAAATTTTACTAATTTTGTATCAATTTTTGCTATGTTAACCAGAAAATTATATACCTCAGTTGTTACACACATACTACCAGACACATCAACACAGAAGATAACAAGTGACTCATCAAGGCCAGTCGGTCCACTAGCTGTTGTGGAGAGGGCTGGTTCTAACATAAACGTGACGTCTGCTTCTTTAGGCACCTCCTCTTCTTCAATATCTACAACGTTTCTAGTTTCGCAGTACTCACAAGTCCACACCTTAAAACAACAACAGTATCAACAACATGTCTTAAATTTTTACTAACATTTATACAAAGAGGGCAAATATAGCATAAAGTAATACAAGACAAAATAGAACATTTACTGCTTATTTTAAGATGAAATAATTTTCATATCCAAATTATTTTGAGTTTCTAGATTCAACAGACCTTGTTCAGTACATGTCATGTTTTGTTTTCTGTCCGTCCATTTCAATATGAGCCGCGTCACGACAAAACCAACATAATGGGTTTGCGACCAGCATGGATCCAGTCCAGCCTGCGCAACTGCGAAGTCTGATCAGGATCCATACTGTTCCCATATAGCTAGACCCTATAACAGAAACTGATAGGGAACAGCATGGATCCTGATCAGACTGCACGGATGCGCAGGCTGGTCTGGATCCATGCTTGTAGCAAACACATTATATTGGTTTTGTCATGACACAGCTCATAGATTTATTTGAACTATCTTAAAAATGTTAAGTTTATAAAGAACATTCAGACCATGTTTGGTAAAAATAAATTGAATTCCTAGATATGAGAAGTTGAACATTCATATTTTCTATGTAATATAAGAAAGAACAATAAAACTACTTGAAATAAAAGAAAAGGATAAAAACAGATGTTAATATGATATGAACCGACCTTCTCCTCTCCCAGAATAATAATCTTGCTGATTTTAGACAAGATGGCTGCACAGTTGGTACATGATTGAGCGTCCCCAGCATGCATGTTACTTGGAGCTATCAGCTTGTCAAACTTTACTGTCACAACATTTGTGTCCCCTTGTCTTACACGCCTATGATTCTGAGGTATGGGGTCTGAACCTTCTTTACCTAAATAGGAAATAAAAGTAGCGGATTAAAGTTAATCTACACATCCCTCCCGAAATCAAACAAGAACCGGTTGAACTGGGTGATGCTCCCCAAATAGGTTTTGGACACAGAAAAGTATACCTCTTGAAGTTTCAGAGTTATGTCCCGTTCAAAGTGCAATAATTCCAAACTTAGGCATGACAGAGTTACTGTTCTTTGCACAGCTCATCTACCAAATGATATCTATCTATCTACAGAGTTTCTTGTTCATATCACTTAAAGTGTCAGAGTTATGTCCCGGACAAGAAAAGAGGATGGATGGATGAACGGACGGAAGAACGAACAAAGTGGCGACTATATACTCACCTTTCGGGGTGCAATAAAAAAAGTACATTTCTTCTATACATAAATCTATTCCCACCTCAACCTGCATGTTTAAAAATGCTTCTCTACTTGCCTGGATATGGATTTATATCTAATCTTTTTCAGCAGCAAAGAAAATAAATAAAGGAAGAAGAGTAATAAAAATAAAATAATATATCAACATGTCTTACATTAAAACAAATAAAAAAAATCTAAAATCATGATAAATATTTGGCATACATGTGAACTTTTTTTGATGATCAAGTGGGAGATTTTTCTTCAAAAAGAGGGAGATTTTAGAATTTGCAATAAACAAGGAAGGAAGTTCTGTCATCAAAAATTGGGAGAATTCTTTAATTTGTGAAAATACCCCTTAGTTTAAGAAAAATCTTTGAAAATATGACTGCAGAAAGTTGGAGTCTCCCGCTAAAAGTGGGAGAGTTCACATGACTGTATGATCTGGTTATCATATTATCTATTGTGCCTTTCATGTGTAATGTACAAATCATTATTGTCTATGTTCGTTCTTACTATTTCATTCATGTAAAGCTATCTCAGTTGTATTTTACAACATTTGAATGAAGCATTTCATGCCCAAATATTCTAATCTTTGTTATTCTTACCATATACATGTACATTTACATTTCCTTTTGAATATGTTAAGACCTGTTAATTTATATATGATCAATGATTAAAACATGTGCCTTTATATAACATTTGTAAAAATAACAGACTAAAATATTCTTCAAATATAAAATAAAATTTGTAGTTTTATGTAAACATACCTTTTCCCATCTTCCAGTGAGATTTTGGCTTTTTTGCCCGTGGTGGTGCCCGTGGTGGTAGGGGAGGGCCTGCTGCACAGAATAAATGTGCACCACTTGTTGGTGGAACAGGGCAGGGATCTGAAAGATTAGCAGGAAAATAAAATATGTAAATAGTAGTAGCCTTTTACTTGCTGAATTTTGTGTTACAGAAAGATATACAATGCTCAAATTAATTATTAGAATATATTGGTTACTTCTACACACGTCAGTCTTTTTGTCAATATAAAATGAACATGTTTTGACTTCACTCAAAATATATATTATACACTAATAGTGGTAACAATATGAATATATGGAGCCATTAAAAAACTGGCAGTTTTTTTAGAAAAATACCAACTTTACTTGACAGTGACTGACCTGTAATAGGGAATGTGCTTTTCCTATACATAGTTTATTTTTCCTTAAAGTCATATATGCCAACATGCCAATTGATCAACCAATAATTATCTATTTCAGTAGAATTTTTAATACTGGTATTCTAAGTCGGAAAAAGTATATAACTAGAAATAAATTCTGACCATTATTACTTTATGATAAATAGATACATGTACATTATTCTGTTTATAGAAATCTCTTGTATTATAAAAATAGTTTTCTATAAAATTAAAATGACAAATACAGGTAAAATACAAAGTTACAAACTTACCTGAATAAACACTATTTTCCAAACGTGTGGAAGCTGGTGTGGAAGCTGCATCTATTCGTACATGATGTTCTTCGTCAGGTGAATCTGAGTCAGAGTCACTGAAAAATGGTTTTAGTAACAACAAAAATTGTAACAACAACAACTTATGATAGATTTTACTTATCTTTAGAATTTGTTTTCCCCGTCAGATAACTGAGGAAGGTATAAATTGTATGGCAAGTTGGTTGTTTTAAGCATTCAAAGATAAGAAAAACTCTATATCACAGATTGATCCTTCTTATATGGGCAAGATCTTGCACATGAGAAAAATAACCAACGATGATACAAGCCACCTAGATTCTTTTCTTACATATGGTCATATGTTTGCTTTTTCATTATATGACAAAATGCATATCCATTTTCAGTTTAAATAATATACAGCACAGAAATGAATGTTGAATGCAAATTGTGCAAATTCATCTCTTGACACAATTTCAGCCATGATGGTCATACATTTTTCCCTCTGAGATCAACTGCAAGCAAGTCTGAGACTCAGAGTATATCATATAAGGAATATCTTCCTTCACTATTTTTGGAATAACAAGAGCCATGTGAACATGGCCATCCCCCGCCGAATGTGTTTGCTCATTGGAAGAATGTATATGTAGTAGTGCGGAATAATTCCATTTTAAGAGGTCTTTTGGTAATGAAAACTGATGGCTATAGTGATTACGGATTTGAAACCTATGTGAATACTAATGGCCAAAAATAACAAAGGGCAATTACTGAAAAATAATGCAGGGTAGGTTATCATTCTTGTGTGCTGCATCCCTCCTCAGTAATACTTTTTGAGAAAAAATTGAATTGAAAAATTAAGTATGAAAAAGAACAAAGGGCAATAACACAACAATTAGAAAAGGTAGAGTTATCATTCTTGTGCAGTGCACACCTCCTGAGTGAGATCTATGCACCTATGAAGTTTCATTTTGATATCTCAAAGGCTTTTTGAGTTATGCTCTGGACAAAAATTAATTTTGAAAAATAACAAAGGGCAATAACTCAAAAATAATGCAGGGTAGAGTTATCATTCTTAAGCACTGCACTCCTCCTCAATGAGATCCATCCATCTTTGAAGTTTCAAGTTGATACCTCAAATACTTTTTCAGATAAGCTCTGGACAAAATAGCATGAAAAAAACAAAGGGCAATAACTCAAAAATTATAAAGGGAAGAGTTATCATTCTTGCGCACAACATTCCTCCTCAATAAGATCTATCCACCTATGACATTTCATGTTGATATCTCAAACACTTTTTGAGTTATTCTCAACTCAGGTGAAAAATTAGGTATGAAAAATAACAAAGGGCAATAACTCAAAAATTATGAAAGGTATAGTTATCATTCTTGTGCACTGCACTCCTCCTCAATGAGATCCATCCACCTATGAAGTTTCAAGTTGATACCTCAAATACTTTTTGAGATAAAGTCTGGACAAAATAGAATGAAAAATAACAAAGGGCAATAACTCAAAAATTATGCAGGGTAGAGTTATCATTCTTGTGCACTGCACTCCTCCTCAATGAGATCCATCCACCTATGAAGTTTCAAGTTGATACCTCAAATACGTTTTCATATAACCTCTGGACAAAATAGCATGAAAAAAAACAAAGGGCAATAACTCAAAAATTGTATAGGGAAGAGTTATCATTCTTGCGCACAACATTCCTCCTAAATAAGATTTATCCACCTATGACTTTTCATGTTGATATCTCAAACACTTTTTGAGTTATGCTCCACTCAGGTGAAAAATTAGGTATGAAAAATAACAAAGGGCAATAACTCAAAAATTATGAAAGGTAGAGTTATCATTCTTGTGCACTGCACACCTCCTGAGTGAGATCTATGCACCTATGAAGTTTCATGTTAATATCTCATAGGCTTTTGGAGTTAGGCTCTGGACAAAAATCAATTTTGAAAAATAACAAAGGGCAATAACTCAAAAATCATGCAAGGTAGAGTTATCATTCTTGTGCACTGCACTCCTCCTCAATGAGGTCTATCCACCTATGAAGTTTCAAGTTGATATCTCAAACACTTTTTGAGTTATGCTCAACTCAGGTGAAAAATTAGGTATGAAAAATAACAAAGGGCAATAACTCAAAAATTATGAAAGGTATAGTTATCATTCTTGTGCACTGCACTCCTCCTCAATGAGATTCATCCATCTATGAAGTTTCAAGTTGATACCTCAAATACTTTTTGAGATAAAGTCTGGACAAAATAGAATGAAAAATAACAAAGGGCAATAACTCAAAAATTATGAAAGGTACAGTTATCATTCTTGTGCACTGCACTCCTCCTCAATGAGGTCCATCATGAGTTAGGCTCTTGACAAAAATCAATTTTGAAAAATAACAAAGGGCAATAACTCAAAAATCATGCAAGGTACAGTTATCATTCTTGTGCACTGCACTCCTCCTCAATGAGGTCCATCCACCTATGAAGTTTCAAGTTGATAACTCAAATACTTTTAGAGATATGCTCCGGACAAAAATGTCGGACGGAAGGACGGACGAACGGAAGGTCGGACGGACGGAGACTATTTCTATATCCTCCGCCGAAATTTTTTGGCGGGGGATAATAAAGCTAAATCCACAGCATGCACTTTACAAAACCAAAACAATGGTATGCTCCCCAGCTCAATTTGATTATATTCTTAACTTGCTTTAAATTTAGCTAAGACTATTCGGAAATATTAGAGACTTTAATATCAAATATTAAAATCTTAAGTAGGCTGCACTGCTAGGTATGGCTAGCCATGTTAGATCGCTTTTGCTTTTTATTTGTAGCATTGACCAATCATAATTTTTTTCATAAATTATGCTGATCTAAAATCACTTACCTCACATTCATTCCACCCTCTAACTCTTCATCAGAAATGTACTCAAAACTTGGTTCCTCATACATGTACACATAGTCAGATCCGAAATTCATTTTGACCTAGTGTAGTGTATGTATTTGTGTCAAATTTTATACTGTAATAAAATAATACAAGTACATAATGCTATGGATAAATTGAATGTTTTTTTTTCTCTTTTTTTCCATTAGAATAACTTTATGAACAGCTACCTAGCTCATAAGATTATTACTTTTAAGGTTGAAATTTTAAATGCAGGGCCTCATTAATTTTAGTCTTTTTTTACTTGTTGAGCAAACCAGGTACATATATACCTGAGCAAACTCAGAGGTTCTCTTGTTTTGTGTCTGAATCTCACTTTACACATCATGTGACACATTATCTCAAACCAGAACACAACAAGTTGGACAATGGTTATTCTATAAAAAAAGTGAATGCATGTTACCTAAGCAGGAGATGTGGGGATTAACACTTATAAATTTTAAAATTCTGAACGACAATGTGTCAGGGATTGGGACATAAATGGTGTTTATGGTATAAGACAGGGTCCTAAATTTTTGAAACCCAACTTTAATATAGAAACTAAAAACTTGGAATTGACAAAAAAGCCTGTTTTGTGTCCCTATAATATATTTTTGTTGAACACTTTATATTCCTGAGAGCAGACATACAAATAAGTCCTAACAATTGAATATTATCTTTAAAAAACAACAACGTCTTACCTTGCAAAAGCAATAACAGAAATACGGAAGTTTTAGAACAGAACTATAAATAACTATGAATCCGATTGTTTACTGTCATAAGTTATGACGAATTCTCTAAAAATAGAAAAAAAACATTACCGATAGATCTACTATTTCACAGTTAAGATGCAATTGACATTTGTAAAAAATGACGTCAACTGATTTAGAATAGACAAACATTTCTTAAATTTGTTCATCTTTGTTGAACCTAAACTGCAATATGTAAAAAAATCTTATGCAAAATTTGCTGTTATTTATTTTTTGTCCTGGCCAACTTCAATATCTCACACCTATTATAAAATGGATAAAAACCAAATATGTCCAAACCTGCTGGTTCTCGTTCTCAAACGAATTTTCAATGGCGCAGTCTAAAACGCGGACGCCTTAAGCGGACAATATAAACATATAGGGAAAACGCTGACGATATAGACAAAGAGGAAAAAAGCGGACGATATAGATATATAGTGTAAAATGACTGAGCATAGTTAAATTCATATTAAAGGCTAATAATTGGCTTTTATAAAGTAATATCTGAAAGATGTAATTATTATAATAATTAAAAAAGACTTTAGTTTATCTATTTGTTCAAATTCTTAAAACTTTTTTTTTTATTTGTTCATGTTAATTGACTTAATAACTTTTAATTAAACAGTACAAAACATGCAACAGTCACGTGCGGAAAACTGAATAAGGGCACAAGAAATAAGTTTGAATATATTTGAACACTTTGCATACGCAATTCGCGGACATGATAAACATATAGGGAAAACGCTGACAATATAGACATAGAGGAAAAAAGCGGACGATATAGATATAATATAGTGTAGATTGACATTCTTTTCAAAATATACAATTTACTATGATTTGTAATTTACTTTTGTTTCTATATTGCGCATTAATTGACATATTAGCCGAATCTTCTTTTGTGTATATATATAATTATGAAATAGTGGGCGAATGAGTATATTTTTGAAAATTATCATAAGGTGTATATACATTCAATTTTTGTGCACATCCCTCATTTCCAAAAAAAAAGGTTACATGCTTTGAATTCATTTCATTGCTTACAAAGTGTTAATTTGAATTGGATTATTAAATTATTGTGTTCTTTAACTTTAAAAGTGTAATTGTGTATCAAATATTGTATAAAGTGTTTTCACTAAGGCATTGTTAAAATGGCATTCGTTGTAGGACACAGTCAAGTAAAATATATGAGTTATTATTTGTGTCAACATTCGTACAGTGTGTTTTCCTATCCTGGATATAAAACACGCCAGTTTTGTTTCGAAGAGGACATTTTTGAAGTTGCTCCATATTTTTCGGTAAGTTCATATCAATGATATTCCCCACTGTAATCTTTATCAACCTGAATAAGATATGAATTTTCTTGAACAATCATGTTATGTTCTACCAGAAAATAAAACAGTAAGAAATGTATAAATCATATATTTATGTATATACTGATTCCATTTTTTTTATTTAAATAAAGTGTCCACGTGTCACTTGTATATTTGATATAATCCTGCACGTGTTTAATTTAATCATACACATGATACTTTATACCATATTTCATCAAGTCGAAATAGAAAACGCGGACAATATAGACATATAGTGAAAAAGCGGACGATATAGATATAGAGGGAAAACGCTGACGAAATAAATGTATAGAACGGGAGAATAGAAAACTGTTATGAATAAAAAAATATCTGGCTTCTACCATGTATATAATTAATTTATATCAATTAACTTTCTTTAATTCATAATATTTTTTAGTTTTATTTATATTTTATCCATTAAGTAAATAAAAGAAACTTTCTGCTATAAATACCAATCAACTAATTAAAGTATCCACGTGTCACCTGTGTATTTGACTTAATCACGCACCGACACTTGTATATTTCAAGTAATCATACATCTCACCCTTGTACAATTAATAAAGTGGCTACAGAAAATGCGGACAATATAGACATATAGTGAAAAAGCGGACGATATAGACATATAGTGAAAAAGCGGACGATTTAGATATAGAGGGAAAACGCTGACGAAATAAATGTATAGAACGGGAGAATAGTTAACTGTTATGAATAAAAAAATATCTGGCTTCTACCATGTATATAATTAATTTATATCAATTAACTTTCTTTAATTCATAATATTTTTTAGTTTTATTTATATTTTATCCATTAAGTAAATAAAAGAAACTTTCTGTTATAAATACCAATCAACTAATTAAATTATCCACGTGTCACCTGTGTATTTGACTTAATCACGCACCAACACTTGTATATTTCAAGTAATCATACATCTCACCCTTGTACAATTAATAAAGTGGCTACAGAAAATGCGGACAATATAGACATATAGTGAAAAAGCGGACGATATAGATATAGAGGGAAAACGCTGACGAAATAAATGTATAGAACGGGAGAATAGAAAACTGTTATGAATAAAAAAATATCTGGCTTCTACCATGTATATAATTAATTTATATCAATTAACTTTCTTTAATTCATAATATTTTTTAGTTTTATTTATATTTTATCCATTAAGTAAATAAAAGAAACTTTCTGTTATAAATACCAATCAACTAATTAAATTATCCACGTGTCACCTGTGTATTTGACTTAATCACGCACCGACACTTGTATTTCAAGTAATCATACATCTCACCCTTGTACAATTAATAAAGTGGCTACAGAAAATGCGGACAATATAGACATATAGTGAAAAAATCGGACGATATAGACATATAGTGAAAAAGCGGACGATTTAGATATAGAGGGAAAACGCTGACGAAATAAATGTATAGAACGGGAGAATAGTTAACTGTTATGAATAAAAAAATATCTGGCTTCTACCATGTATATAATTAATTTATATCAATTAACTTTCTTTAATTCATAATATTTTTTAGTTTTATTTATATTTTATCCATTAAGTAAATAAAAGAAACTTTCTGCTATAAATACCAATCAACTAATTAAAGTATCCACGTGTCACCTGTGTATTTGACTTAATCACGCACCGACACTTGTATATTTCAAGTAATCATACATCTCACCCTTGTACAATTAATAAAGTGGCTACAGAAAATGCGGACAATATAGACATATAGTGAAAAAGCGGACGATATAGATATAGAAGGAAAACGCTGACGAAATAAATGTATAGAACGGGAGAATAGAAAACTGTTATGAATAAAAAAATATCTGGCTTCTACCATGTATATAATTAATTTATATCAATTAACTTTCTTTAATTCATAATATTTTTTAGTTTTATTTATATTTTATCCATTAAGTAAATAAAAGAAACTTTCTGCTATAAATACCAATCAACTAATTAAAGTATCCACGTGTCACCTGTGTATTTGACTTAATCACGCACCGACACTTGTATATTTCAAGTAATCATACATCTCACCCTTGTACAATTAATAAAGTGGCTACAGAAAATGCGGACAATATAGACATATAGTGAAAAAGCGGACGATATAGATATAGAAGGAAAACGCTGACGAAATAAATGTATAGAACGGGAGAATAGAAAACTGTTATGAATAAAAAAATATCTGGCTTCTACCATGTATATAATTAATTTATATCAATAAACTTACTTTTTAATTCATAATATTTTTAGTTTTATTTATATTTTATCCATTAAGTAAATAAAAGAAACTTTCTGCTATAAATACCAATCAACTAATTAAAGTATCCACGTGTCACCTGTGTATTTGACTTAATCACGCACCGACACTTGTATATTTCAAGTAATCATACATCTCACCCTTGTACAATTAATAAAGTGGCTACAGAAAATGCGGACAATATAGACATATAGTGAAAAAGCGGACGATATAGATAAAGAAGGAAAACGCTGACGAAATAAATGTATAGAAAACTGTTATGAATAAAAAATCTGGCTATATTTCTTTAAGAAAGGAATGTTTTTATTTCAGTGTTTTGTAATGTTATTTAAAACGTTTACATTAAGTAAATAAAAAACATTTTTTCGCAGACTGTGGTCCAGGTTGTTGGAGCCAACGACATTGGATATCTGTTTAAAGTACTTTCAAGTTATAGAAATATTGTTAAAATAATCGTTTGATGTATATATGTTTTTGTATGTTATATTTACATGTATATTGTATATATTTTTCTGTTGTCTTGGCCATCATGAATGTTATTGTAAATGGCCAAAGGCATTTTCTCATGCCGATTTAGCCAAAATAAACTGTATAAACTGATATTATTATTTGTATGTGTAAAATAAATTCATGTACCGAATGTGTTATATTGGTAAAATAAATTCATGTACCGAATGTGTTATATTGCTTAAATAAAATTGCAATGATCGAAGTTCATTCTTTATCCTCGTTTTTATTACTGCACAATATTACTATACATTATCATTATCTATTTTATTATAATTTTATCTCACACATCATTCTACACTATATCTATAGCGCCCGCTTTTTTCCTCTGTATCTATATCGTCCGCTTTTTCTCTATATATTTATATTGTCTGCAAAAATAGGGCAAAGAGCGGACAGGTTCAATCAGGTAGCATGTTGTTGACACTTAATTGTCGTTAATTTGCAACACGTGTCCGTCACAAGAGTATACGTCTACTCTAAATTTCTATATCGTCCGCGTTTTCCTCTATATCTATATCGTCAGCGTTTTCCCTATATATCTATATTGTCCGCAAAATGCGTATCATGTTATCTCTAGCTAAGTACCGACACGATTTATCAGTAGCGTGTTGTTCATACTTATATAATTACCGTTAATTTGCAGCACGCTTCTGCTTATATTGTATTAATAAAAAACAACAGCCTGTCATTACTTATTTATATCAATAATTTATGATTAAAAATTACTCTTACAAACTTTTGATTTTGAAAAATCAAGGCTTTTTTTATTTTGCGAACAAAAATTTTGTCCGCCTACTGCACATAAAAACATACAAAAACAATGCCAAAATGAAATACATATCCTTAATTACATATCAGCTGTTGCCAATTTAGTACCATCATTGTAATTCTAAAGACATTCATTTGATCCATTTGTTTCATATATTAGTTTTCAATATTTAGAAATTCCGAAAAT